AATGAGAACACAAACATGAATATAAATTGTTATGACAAAGGTGTTTTTTATTTATATCAGAGAATGTTTTGATGACACAAATGTATGTACTGCAAGTACCAGTATTCAAAAACACTATTTAATTAATGTGCTTATGGTATTACAAAAATCTTAATACAACAAAATAAAAAAACAAAACAATGAAAACCAAGTCAACGCATCATTTTTTCAATTTAACCTAAGATGAGAAAAAAACTTTGTTTCATTTAAATTATTCTATATTTTTGCCCATTCTTTATTTGTCTTGTTGTGATTTGAATTCCTAAAGGTTAAATTGTTCCATGTTGGGTAATGATATGGGATTGACAACACTTTAAAAATCATACATTTGTATAGTATTTCTTTATTTCTAACATTCCTAAAGTTTAAATAATGAAATAATAGTATCAGTTCTAAGACATTACTAAGACATTAGAAATTGAACAGTGTTTCATAGCTAAAATATTAACAATTTTAAAATCTGGTAATTCATTAGTAATATTTGGTATTCCATCACATTTACAGCCATGCAGGGAAGTGTGAATAGAAATAAATAAATATCATTTGGGTTAATTTCAGATAGTAGGGTGCAGTGCCCTGTTAACCCCTCCTTTTACCCCCTGTGGATGTACTTATAATTACATTGGAGATGTGCTTTTAATAGAATAAATATGGTATCCGCATTTTATAGCCAAACTACACTATCACAGAATGATAAATACGGTGCATATGAAGCATGGAAAATGGGAAAAAAGCTGACATTAATCAAAAGTTAAAGTGGCATGACCTTGTTTGCGTTAATAAAGGATTACATGAATTAATTTATTACCAGATATTTCATGCCAAAATACTGCTGCAATCATAGCAAATGGACAAAATGACTTGAAAAAAGGTTCCTTTAGTTAAATTTTTCAGTAATTACAAAATAGAAGATATTTTTGAATAATTTAGGCATTATTTTCATTTTTTCATCAGCCACTGTTACATATTTCCAAAACTTTAATGGGGGGGGTGTTGATTTTTAGCTAATAAATTGTGCCCCCTAAAAATTTACCACCGACAGACTTTCACATTTGACGGAATGGAAAATTTTTTTTTTTTTTGGCACTCGATGTAGTACAGTAAGAAAGAGTTAACTAATCCCCGTGTTCAGTGTACAATCAAAATTTAATAATACATTTGCAATTTCAACAAAACTAAGTGTAGTGGAAATTTAATTATATTGACTTTAGTTTAATTAGAAACTGTCTCTTTGTCATATTAACTACCTGTACTTACAATTGCCATCTGTACCAAGTACATGGACTATAGGAATTTAATAAAAAATGTCAAAATCCTAAACTACATTTTAATCCTAAACAATGAAAAAAAATTATTTGAAAATTGTATCATTTTGAATTTATTTGATATAGTTTACATTCTCTAAACGGGTATAAAGAAAAAAACTAGTGAGAGAAGCAGCAATATTTGTGACTGGTGTTGGTCTGAGAATAAACCAGATGAGTAGCAAATAATCCGAATGAACAATACAAAAAATAATACAAAACGGGCTATTTTATTTGTAATAATAATTTTGCCCTGGTTTTTGCCACAGCAGAACAGACAAATAAACTTGTCAGAATATACAGTATACTGTAGAAGGATTAATTGTTCACTGGGTTTTATTTTTGATAAATGGAAAATGCGCTAAATTAAAACAAAGTGATTATGTAAAATTTAGCATAGAACACATTATCTAAATGATAAAACCAAATTCAAAACCCACTGATTATGCCTGAAATGGTAAATCAGCGAAATTTAAACCCAGTTAAAATTAGTCATTTTACAGTATTTACTGCTAATTTTACAAGATGTTGTCTTTTAAAACCATTTAAATAATCCCAAAACAAAAGGGTTATAATAATCACCTCCAATCACAACAATTTCTAATTTGCATGACACAAAACATTGTGTTAGACAGACTAATCATATTTGTGTATTTTGTGTCCTTTTACACTAAACAGATGAAAAGATGCTAAGTAAAGAAGTAACACTGGCAACTATTCACAAAAAGTGTTGTGAGTGCACCACTATTGTAAGTTGAATTTGAGTGCCACAGTCAACTGTATTTAAATGATAACTAAGTAGGCAGGCCTGCAATGTGCGAAAAATTTTAAGGCAGTTTATGCCTCTTGTAAGAATTGCTGGTGTGAATGTGATTATGAGATTTTTATATTTTTAATTACCGGATACATTTACACCAATGTAACTTTTTTCAAGTGAGAACATGGTATGTGTTTATGTCTATTATTGTAAATATAAAGTGTTTTCAGGCCATTTCTCAATAACCTTGTCATGATGTAAGCTAATCAACCCCTAAGCTCTTCTACTCAACCAGCTGATCTCATACACCATTCCAAAAACGGATCCATACCATGGTTAATAAAATTGACAACTTATTTCTAATTGATTATTAACAATCACTAATTGAAAAATCAAGATTTTTTAGATGGGTTGCTTAAATTAACATTACGTGTATTTTAGTGAAGTAAGAACTCAAATGATTCTACAAGAATCATTCAAATTAACCATTAACTGTATTAATCTAACAGTGTCTGATTATTAAAAAAGGAGTGATTGGTAAACGTCTCATAAGTACAGGTACAAAAAGTACTTGTGGACACTACAACAAACACTCTACACGATATACATGCAGTAATAAAGATTAGCTGCAAATAACAGGATCATTTGAATTTTATTGTAAATACAAAATTGAGTTTACAAAAATTCATGTCAGTATAAGTCAGCAAGGTACGACTCTGAATCTGATAGGCAGATTTTATTTGACATTTACTTGTCACTGGTGGGGCGTATCAAATTTGATAAAATATATATTTTAATATTCCATGAATCTCATCAGCCAATAAGTGAATTTAAAATAATTGATTTCAGCAGAAAAAAAAAACTCTAATTCACATTAATATGGCCTTATGAAGCAAGATTTTGAGGAGACATTGTAAAAAGGACATGATGTCAAAACAATTTCTCCTTATATATTATTTCAAATAGATGTTTAGTATCACCAGTTACCAGCATTTAATGAAAAATTCTTGATTCAGAATAATCGAACCCAAAATTATATTAAAAAGGCACTTGAAAATGGTTACTTTTTAATAGCTACATGTATAAGGTTACAATGTATGGGAGGTGATTCAACAATTGGATAAATATATTGCCTTCTGGGGGACGCAATCTGTCACAACTAACTACATGTGTAAACCCTAGCGTCAAATCAAAATAATACAAGTCATTGATAAAATCCAAACTGTACAATAATCCTCATCCTTATAACATAAATCAATTCACCCCTGTATTTTGGTATGGTCAAGGTATTTCACTATTCCACCATGATAATAGGGTGATACCATTTTAAGTTGAAGGTATATAGTAGTTTAAACAACAGCATATCACACTGTGAAATCTCATGTGTCAACATGCATTATGTTATATTTCATGAAGTAAAAGCAATAACAACTTCTATATTAAATAAATAGATTTGGATGAAATAGTGTACTATACAAAAAAATTAGACTGTGATAACAACAGCAAAAATGCCAACTAAAAAAAAATTAAATAAAACTATGTGGAAAACACAATACAACTCACTGTTTCACTATTAAAATCATGTCAATAGGTGCTCTTAAATTATGTAATTAATTCTCTACTGGCAGAAATTCAATGGTTTACAAAGTATGCTTTTACAGTAGTATCAGGAGGTCCATTTTTATATATGTATTTTCACTGCCCTATTTCACATACTCACCACAGGGGAACACAGGCTAAATAAGTTGCCATTAAGAAACTAATACATGCCACTAATTAAAACTATTTTTAGCCACAACTTCATTATCATCATCTGGTTTTCTAATAAAACACAGGCCAAAATCACAGAGTGCCAAAATTCTTCATGTGTTAATAAATAAATTAATTTATTAATTAGCTTAACTGGGAAGAGAGTTAATTTTAAAATGTAAGACTGTTCTGCCAGAGAACATCACTACTCTGTGGGGATCAATAACTGTCTCCATATGTGTAACTATTATTGATCTTTTGTTTTTTTAGATTTCGCCTCTTTTCAGCACAGAAAACTAAACATGAGGTGCGTTCTAAGCTATTATTCCTCAGTGCAGAGCTTATTTACAATTCAGTTCACAGCAAAGTCGCCACAGCTGTTCCCTGTTTGTTGCCACATCACATGGTGAAACAGTTAATGGAAAGAGCATTCATTGCTCAAACTTTTAGAATACAAATTCAATTTAAAAAATATCAACGAATAATATTATTTGACATCTTCAGATTTTAGGTACTTCTTCACTGATTTTTAATCATCTATACTGAACGATTTAATGAAAATCGGCTGACCTGCTCTTAGTTAAAACATTTATTTAAGGATCACCCAACGCAGTAAAAATTATAGGCGCCATTTCACTGTTCAACCCTCTGTGGTAATAAATTGTCCACCAACACAGGGTCACAAATATTTCCCGAGCCGTGTTTGGGGCTGTTGAAACCTGGGATACGTAAAATGTATAGCAACACATGCTTTACTGAGTTTATTCACATCATACAGCAATCTCCTCGGAGCCCTCACGTTCTTTATGTCAGTGTAATATCAATGTAGCCTTAGTCGTGCATGTCCGCGATCTGTCCGATCGACAACGAAATAAGCGCTGAAATCGGGAGACTTGGTTCTAACGGTGGTTATTTCCAAGGATAGGATATGTAGCGACTGCGGACCGTTTGCACTGAACAGAGGCAATCTGGGGATTCGCGTGCCATGTAAACGAACACCCTTTGTGTAACGACAGTGCGTGAACATATCGACCAACAATAAAAATAGCGAACAAGAAAAATTATAATGGGAATGTATTTACCTTGGCTAATGAAATTGCTGCACGGTACACGCAGATACTATAAGAAAATAGAAAAACAGGGAGAATTAACACGGTGGAAATAATAGGTTACAGAGAGATGCGGGTACACAAAATCGGTCATTCATCAGTGAGCACGGGAAATCATAGCTGTGCGGTTGGTCGTATATTGAATGGACTTCACGCAAGTCGCATGTGATTTAAAATAAATCGCATCCAAATACATATATTGGTGAATAAAAACACACACATGGCCACTATTCAGTTATAAATGGACCATTTCCACGGTCCGTACCTTGTGTCGTGTTCCCGGGGTTTTGTCGGGTTTAACTGGGGTAATGTGGAATAGTTAGGAGAGAGCTTCGAGCTGATATACGGGGGAAGGTCCTCGGGTAAAACAGAATACAGTGCTATCAAAAGAAATCAACTACAGGGCGACGCACTAAGTGAGGCATTTAGAATCAATCCGCTGTCAGTGGTATTAAGTTCATTTGGCGTGTATTTCGCAGAATATCTAATTTGCACGTACGCATTTTATTATATTGGATTTTGAAAAAATAAATGTTATTATAGGATAGTGTGTCAACTTAATTTTGAGCTGTTCGATGGTCTATTTTGTTCTGGCGAGTGTAGAACTCCCCGGACCGTTGAACAAAAACTGCGCACTCTCAGACCTAATATAATAGCGAAGTAAAATCACTGAAACGCGCTAATCGGCCTAAAATAATGGAAGAGACAAAGGCATTTCCTATATGCACAGATAATATTCCTCCGGTATATAATTTTCTTTAGAATTGGAGGAACAATACAAAGACACGGCTGTTAGAATACGTTATTTGTACTCGTTTTTTTGTATTTATGGCATTTGATTCACTTGTAATGCGATTGCGATCCAAACGTGGTCATCCTATATGTCTACATGACAAATCACTATAAAATTGATACCAGTCAAAAACTTGCTTCCTAATGATGGTATTTGTTCGTTAGTTTTTCGAGTTGTACAAGTTAGCAAGCAAGAAAAAAATACATGATATGATAAATGCTGTTGTACAATCATAATTTATAAACTTTAATTTTTTCTAATAATTGCTTGGGCAACTAACAATAATTCTTATTGATACAAGTTTATCAAGAAAGACATTCTTATAAGAGAGGGATACATTGATGAAAGACTCTTGTTTTAAATGTCTTATGAAACCCTCCGTGCGGCCCACTGTGCGTGTGTAGGGTAATCACATGGCCTGGTTAGATGTTGACAAACATTGGTCACCTGATCAAAGTTCAAAGGTTATTTAATCAAACATGGCCGAATGTGCTGAAGTAGAGGTCGTCGAATTTGACTGTGAGAATTGTGGATATAATCATACAATAGATGGCGTTCGCAAACGCGAATTTGCAAGACTTGGAGGTGATTGAATCAGTATTAATTGATTATCTTTAAATTACTTCAAATATAATAACATTGTGTAAAAACGGGCTTCAGTTTGAGATGGGCCCGATGATCCGTTGGCGTAGGTTGAAAACACACACTAGTACATGTACAATGGGAGACTGTGAAGTTACTTGGTACATTTACCGAATTCAAAAATGTACATATCATAACCACGTAACACTTCAACTTTAATCGTTATTGTGAACAGGAAGCCACACATCCATAAAAGTCTGGTTGACCATTATCTGGGTAATTACACTGTACACAAAAGAGGTAACATGGTTTTTTTTTCAATTTCAGAAAAGCTACCTTCAATTTTTTTTTTTTTATTTTTAGCTGATGTGTTGGTCACAGCATATGCATATATTATTTGAAAATGTTTATCGAATCACCAACACTCAAATATTTTTGCACTTTTTAGCATTTTCTGCTAAAATCAGTGACTGGAAAGTGATGTGATACCGAACAACATAAATTCTAGGTGAGATTATGGCCCACTAGATTTTCATAGATTTGTGACTTCCTGGACACAAATTATATAATATCATAAGTTTAAGTGTTACATGGTCATGATATGTATATTTTGTGTTTTGAACTATTTGTATCCCACCTCCATCTATTCATCTTGTTTTTGGTGTGAAACATCTCATCTCCTGGGATCAAAGGTGTACCGTATTCCACAAAGCATAGCTATACAATTAATGAAGTGTCAGTTGTCAGATTCATGCCTGCCATTATTCACCTTTCCAGTGTGTTTTTACCCAATCTTGCAGTTTTAAACTTTCTCAAAATAGTTCTCAATTATATTGTGCAATTCTCATGTGGGAGTACTTTTTTATTTTTATTTTAGCGATAATTTTTGTTAATTTTTTTTCCCGTACATTGACAACAATACACATTGTGTTGATTGAGATGATTGTCATTTTATTTCCATCACGCAGAAGTTCAAAACGTTATTTTTCTACCCAGATGGACAATATAAGGAGCTGCTGGGCAGATTTGTCATGCCCTCATTGCTGTATTTTACTTTTAAAAATAGCTGTTTATTTTCACCAAGGTTTTTTCTATTGAAACCAACATGGCTACACTCCTGTATTCCATACCATTTTATTCTGGGCTATGAAATCAATGTTTACGTCTTGTAATTTGAACAATGTTGTGATATATTGTTGTTATTTGTTGCTGTTGTCACCACTAGGTTTTCAACCATCAAAATTTACATGGTGACACTATTTTGATTAATTGTGGTTGATTTTTAGCTCCGCTGTTGACTTTGTTGACCAGAGCTTATCATATGAGTTATTTATTGTCTTTCGGTGTTCGTGTCAACTTTTTAACTCCGCTGTCAACAATGTCGACACAGCGGGGCTGTTCATATTACTGATTGTCCGATGTCGTCCGTCGTCAACTTTACAATCTCAACTTCTTGTTCGAAACCGCAGGTCAGAATGTTTTCAAATTTGATGGTTCTTTCTCAGATTTGTTCATTTCATGATTATATCTTCAATTCTCTAATTTTAGTGAATATTTTTTGTTTGAAAACCTCAAGTTTAATTGCTTTGATATTACATATATAGGTACTACATGCCGCTCTCAGATTTGTTCATTTCGTGATGATTCCTTTAATTCTCTAATTTTGATGAATATTTTTGTCATTTTTGGTAAAAAGTCTGATTGCTTTTATGTTATACATATAATAATGTTATTAACACCTACACATTCCCCAGGGGGATTGGCAGTGGGTACAAAAGTTTGAGAAGGAATACAAGGTTACAAAAAAGTAAATAGATAAAATAAAACAAACTAAGCTAATACATTAGAGAGTATAAAAAATATTGGGATTAAATTATAATACTAAATTATAATACTATATTACTACTATATAGGAACCTCAGGTAGACCTCGCTCAGATTTGTTTATTTTGTGATGATATCTTCAATTATCTAATTTTGATGAATATTTGTGTCATTTTTGGTAAAAAGTGATATTTTCGAGTTCTATTGCTTTCATACTATACATATTTTTCATTTTCTAATAATATCTTCAGTTCTTTAATTGAAATGCTCATTGCTAACAGCGGAGCTATCTCAGCCGAAAGGCTGGTTGTTTATGTTCTACCTGCATGTTTCTTTGTTGTATTTTTTTGTAGATACACTTATCGTCAAGCCTATTTTTGTTTAAAACCAACATGGCCAACTAGTATTTTTTTAGTATTTGTTCAAAATGTTCAATTATACTCTGTACCATTTGAAGTTGTTATCCTAGCTGGGATTTGAGGTGGTTTCTGTACCATGACTGGGATTCAGGGTGATGTTGGTATTTTAGATGGGATTTCAGGTGGTTTCTGTACCATGACTGGGATTCAGGGTGATGTTGGTATTTTAGCTGGGATTTCAGGTGGTTTCTGTACCATGACTGGGATTCTGGGTAGTGTTGGTATCCTAGCTGGAATTTGAGGTGGTTTCTGTACCATGACTGGGATTCTGGGTAGTGTTGGTATCCTAGCTGGTATTTGAGGTGGTTTCTGCACCATTACTGGGATTCAGGGTGGTGTTGGTATCCTAGCTTGGATTTGAGGTGGTTTCTGTACCATGACCAGGATTGAGAGTGGTTTGGTATCCTAGCTGGGATTTAAGGTGGTTTTTGTGCCATGACTGGGATTCAGGGTGGTGTTGGTATCCTATCTGGAATTTGAGGGGGTTTCTGTACCATGATTTAGATTTAGGGTGGTGTTGGTATCCTAGCTGGGATATGAGTTTGTTTGTGTGCCATGACTGAGATTCAGGGTGGTGTTGGTATCCTAGCTTGGATTTGAGAGGGTTTCTGTACCATAACTGGGATTTAGGGTGGTGTTGGTATCCTAGCTGGGATTTGAGGTGCTTTCTGTACCATGACTGAGATTCAGGGTGGTTTTAGTATCCTAGCTGGGTTTTGAGTTGGTTTCTGTACCATTACTGGGATTCATGGTGGTGTTGGTATCCCAGCTGGGATTTCAGGTGGTTTCTGTGCCACGACTGGGATTCTGGGTGGTGCTAGTATCCTACCTGAGATTTGAGGTTGTTTCTGTACCATAACTGGGATTTACGGTGGTGTTGGTATCCTAGCTGGGATTTGAGGTGGTTTCTGTACCATGACTGGAATTCATGGTGGTGTTGGTATCCCAGCTGGGATTTCAGGTGGTTTCTGTGCCATGACTGGGATTCTGGGTGGTGCTAGTATTCTACCTGAGATTTGAGGTTGTTTCTGTACCATTACTGGGATTTAGGGTCGTGTTGGTATCCTACCTGGGATTTGAGGTGGTTTCTGTGCCATTACTTGGATTCAGGGTGGTGTTGGTATCCTAGCTGGAA